GCCATGTAGTATCCTCTATATCTCTGCACGGCCATGTAATATCCTCTATATCTCTACGCAGCCATGTAATATCCTCTATATCTCTGCGCGACCATGTAGTATCCTCTATATTTCTGCACGGTCATGTAATATYCTCTATATCTCTGCGCAGCCATGTAATATCCTCTATATCTCTGCGCGGTCATGTAATATCCTCTATATCTCTGCGCGACCATGTAATATCMTCTATATGTCACATTACTTACCACTCGTTTTCCCGAGATGCAAATATCAAGCACATGTAAGTCCTCAGAGTATTTGGTGCCATCGGCAACGTTCCCTTCTCCTGTCGCTGATGCTCCCCTCCTACACCATAAGTAACAGGGAGACTTTGGGTCTAAGAAAAACAAAGAATCCCCACGTTTAGCTGGAACACTARGTACCAGTTAGCCTTTTCAGAGTTTCTATTCATTGGGTGGGGTGTTATAAATGGACAAACGACATGGCTGCCATGTTGGTTGACATGACAAAAGAAACCAAGACTAAATCTATTGTCCAAGTCAACCAAAATGGCTGCTGTGACGTCATATGCACGGAACCGTACAAGTGGCCGTCGCGACGAAATAGTTTGTTGGTGAACGACAATCAAAATGCATTTTCTTATAACATTGTCGGAAAACATAAAGGCACACATGCACGTGTCTTTGAAATGTCATGGAAACGCCTTGATTTATGGAGTCAACTATAAATAACAGCGTGCTCTTGGCGGTTTGAGTATTCACAATGAATAAACTTAGTATTTTTTTATTTTTTTTTTGCCGTTAAGTTGATTAGACTTTTGATGAAAAACCATGCATAGCTAATAATGGACCTTTTTAACGATAAGGCGGCCATCTTGATATCTTTTGTTTTAATGAAGAAGTTATGCCGAGCGGTGAACCATTGGAAAATTTATAGACTGCGGAGTTGTCAGGGAGTGTTCTCATATAACGTTTGGCTTTTCAATGAGAAGCACATCTAAAAAGCAACTGAATTTATTGGTAGTTGGAACAATATGCGAAACTCCAAGACTCCAAAATATTTGAAAACGTATCCCCGCTACTCTATGGTTTAAAAAAAATTTCTACGYGTTCAAGATGAATTCATGATGGCTGCCATATCATTAAAAAAAGGTGTATAAAGGTTTGCACCATCACGTGATGGCAGCCATGACAAGAGGCACAACAATAGAGTCGTTCTCCCCTGGGAAACTGAATCCTTTCTCAT